AAATGAACACTATTGAAGTAGAATAACATATAACAAAATTCATTAATTTTGTGTGTACAGCTTTAAAAGAGTATATTCAGCAGTCACCACCATCATAATCATGATATAGAATATTTTAATCACTCATTTTCCTTTTTATAAATTGATTTCAGACATGAAGGGAGAGGGAGAGATAGAAACATCAATGATGAGAGAGAATCATTGCTTGGCTGCCTCCTGCACCCCCCCTACTGGGGATGGAGCCCACAACCCGGGCATATGACTGGAATCGAACCTGGGACTCTTCAGTCCACAGGCCGACGTTCTATCCCCTGAGCCAAACCAGCAAGGGATCACTCATGTTCCTTTATAGTCAATCCCTTCCTTCACCTCTGGCCCCTGGCAACTAGTGATCTGCTTTCTATTATTATAGTTTTGCCTTTTCTAAGTTTTCCGGTAAATGAAATAATCTGATATATTGTCTTTTGTTTCTGGCTTCTTTTATTTACCATAATGCTTTTGAGATTTATTAATATGGTTGCATGTATCAATCATTTCTTGCTTTTCATTATTGAGTAGTTTTTCACTACTTGGATTACGCTACATCTTGTCAACACTTGGTGTTTTTAGTCTTTTTAATTTTAACCATCTGGTGGATATGTAGTGGTATCTCATTGTGGTTTTTATTAGCATTTTCCTAATGATAAAAATGTTGAGCATCTTTTCGTGTGCTTATTTGTCACTCACATAGCAAATATTCTGGCTATTTAAAAAAGCTGAAGCTGGCTGGTGTGGCTCACTGGATTGAGTGTCATCCTATGTACCAAGAGGTCACTGGTTCTGTTCTCAGGCAGGACACATGCCCAGGTTGCAGGCTCAATCCCTAGTAGCGGGTGTGCAATAGGCAACTGATGGATGTTTCTCTCTCATCGATGTTTCTATTTCTCTCTTCATCTCCCTTTCTATCTAAAAATCAATAAAACATATTTAAAAAATAAAAGTTGAGCTGCTTTTCTTATTTTTGTATTATAAGTGCATATGTAGCTACAATATTTTCATTAAATGTGTGGCTTGTTTTATTCTTTTAACATATTTCTTAAGAGCAAGTGTTTTAAGTGTTGATGAAGTTTAATTTGTTAATATTTTCTTTTATGGCTCATGGCTTTGTTTGTTGTATCTAAAAATCTTAGCTTACTCCAAGGGTCACAAATTCTTTAAAACAATTTTTTTCTAGAAGTTTTATATTTTTTATTTTTCTATTTAGAGGTATGTGGCCCATTTTAGTTAATTTTTTGTGAGCAGTGTAAAGGAAGGTTGAGGTTCTTTTTAAGTGTATGAATATTTGATTATTCTAGCACTATTTTCTTTTTTTTTGCAAAGACTAGCCTACTATTTACTGCCTGCTAGGCTTTAAGCTGTAGTTCCTAACATTTACTTTTTGTTTCAAACATGCAGTAACTCTTTTCTTTGCCCTTTTCTTTTAGGGATTTAGGAACACTGAACTCAAGGGAAAATTTGTGAGTTGGGGAAAAGGCTGTAGGAATTCTGAGATTTTTTTTTATCCATTGACACCTGCTTAGTCTATTACTTTATCAGAATCAGGTTCAACTGACAACCTCCCATCTTCTGGGTCAGAAAATGTACGAAGAGCTTTGCTAAGCATTTAGCTTTAAGAGTTTAAAGGTAAAACCTAACCATAAGGATTTAGAAACTCAACAAATACCTGGTGTGTAACAAAGAGGGCAGGAACTTCCCACACATAGGTTTAGGTTTAGGTGAACCATACTAGTATACCTCAAACACAGGGAGAAAAGCTCTACATTTTTTTATATTAAAAAAGTGTGCAAAAATCTTGAATTCAAATTCTCGAAGGAATGGTTCAATGCATTGGTCTATGTTTCGGGGGGCTGGAGGGAACACTGCTTTCCTACTCCTGTTAGTTTCTTAATTGCTGGGGGCTCACCTCTAGTGTAATGATTCTGCATCTCTCTAGGCTCTCCTTGCTTTGAGAGGTGGAATAGTTTATTTGGCGAATTTCGGAGTAGAAACTGGGCCCATGAGCTCCATCTCTGTTTCTTTCTCTCTGGGTTCCACACAGCCTATAGGGATTTCACATTTTTAGGGAGGCCTAGTGCTTCCCAGTTCTTCCTACGACTTGTGGGTAAGTATGCCTCATTCTAGAATTAGATGTTAAGAATTTGTTTGACCACAGACCCATTCTCCAATATAAGCTTCATAACTAATAAAGGTGGTATTTTGCTCTCCCAAATGTACGGTATTTCTCAGTGGGTTCAGAATGTGGATAGGGACAAGGGATGAAGTTTAGTAGGCCTCTTCAGCTCCAAAGGTCCAGACAAAACAGAATACTAAAGATTTGTTTAATACATGTCTCCAGTATTTAGTTATTGTAAGACACATGGTTTATTTCTCCAAGTCCACAAAGTATAAAATGGGCTTAAAGCACAGAGAAAATTTTGTTTATACATAACAACTTTCTGTAAAAAGAATCACAAAATGGCTGTTGCATCTTTATCCAATAGATATTTAGAACTAGGACTGGCAACTTGATGTTAAAGAATAGTTTTATTTTACTTTGAAGCAGAATTCAGATTAAAAGGCCTCTTGAGATTTATTTTAGGTCTGTGAATTTTTTTAATAACTGTAGATTTCTTTCAGCACATGAGCAATATTGAAAATAAGCAAGTTTAAATTCTTCTGATAAAATATCTCCACTCCTCCTGAATGTACTTTTTCCTCGCTGGTATTAAAATCAGATGAGGAGTTTAGTGGTTCTTTACATCGAAACCAAGTATTGGATTTCAGCACTCGGGTAATGTTCTTTGCCTTAGGATCATATTCAAATTGCTTTGATCTACGGAAGAAATAGAAGAATCCTAGAGAGAGAGAATCATGATTAGTTATCTTGCACAACTAGACAATGGTTCCATACTTCTTAATTTTATGAATGCAGAATAAAATAATTGAACATCATGCAAAGAACACAAACTTGTGTAATTATATAGATACATTTTACTTTCTTAGTATCACATGAGAAATATTATTATTTTTATTTCCCGGAGGAAGAAGTTAAGGTGTGAAACATGAGTTTCAAGGAAGTTACTACCTTTCTAGCCAGACTTTCGGTTTATGTTGAGGTTTGCAAAGTATGTGTCCAAAGAGTGTGAGGGGGAGAAGAAGACACCTGTGGGTATGGCCTTTGCTCTCATTTCCTCATTTTCATAGAGTTGTTTTACTTTATCTATTTTAGGTGTTGTGATTCTGTGTTGGATGTCACTGGAATAAAGATTGTGTCACTCAAAAACATTTTTGGACTCTTGTTTACTCCATGGTCTGGGTCATTGTCTTGGAAACACTAGCAGCTGGACTGGTACATTAAATTGCCCAAGGTTCTTTAGAGACTGTAAATTCCTGGATATCTGCCATAGTACCACGGCCTCAAAACTCTGGAGAATTTGTAGTTTCACACACCTGAGCTGTGCATATTAAACTATGTACATTATCGTTGGAGAATCACTATTCAGTTTATGTGCTTAGTTATTTTTTATGCTTAAAACTCTTCAGGGAGTGTCTGCTAGGGGGTATCTTGGATCAACAATAAATAAAACTAATTTTGGTACTATTCACATAGATTTGAAATGGTACAACAGAGAATATAATTCAGGATTTACTGATTCAGTTTGTGATGTTACCCACAGGGTTAAAGTTTATTACCACATGTGCTCGAGAGTAGTAAGATTATGTTAAAATTGAAAACTTGAAGTCTTTTCTGTCTTCTTTTACAGTCAATAAAGCCTTCCAATTGTCCTAAGAGATTAGGCCTTGATGCTTACCTTTATGCTGAAAAGCAGCATCCACCCGGAGACCAATTCCTGGGAAGGATTTTACCACCCTCCGTGGGTACCCTCGGTCCATGGTTTGGGTCACTTCATCATACCTGGATACATGGATATGAAAAGTTTTTTTGAATTTCTTAGTTTTGGGGAGCTTAATTCATCTACTGCCCAACTTGAAGTCAAACAGGGATGTGGAGAAAAAGAGGCCTCGTAGAGGAAAACTAATTGGATCAATATTCAAAAATATGGCAAAGGCCCTGGCTGTGGTTGCTAAGTGGTTACAGCGTTAGTCGAGGGTTCGATTCCTGGTCAAGCGCATATACCTGGTTAGTCGAGAGTTCGATTCCTGGTCAAGCGCATATACCTGGGCTGCAGGTTTGATTTCTGGCCCCAGTTGGGGCATGTGGGGGTGGCAACCAATTGATGTGTCTCTCTCACATTGATGTTTCTCACTCTTTCTCCCTCCCTCCCTTTCTCCCTTCCACTCTCTCTAAAACTCAGTGGAAAAAAATATCCTTGGGTGAGGACTGACAACAACAAAATAAGGCAAATAATATGTTTGGTTGAATTGTTTACGGTGTCTTGAAAACAAAAATAGACGGTCAAGCGCATATACCTGGGCTGCAGGTTTGATTTCTGGCCCCAGTTGGGGCATGTGGGGGTGGCAACCAATTGATGTGTCTCTCTCACATTGATGTTTCTCACTCTTTCTCCCTCCCTCCCTTTCTCCCTTCCACTCTCTCTAAAACTCAATGGAAAAAAATACCCTTGGGTGAGGACTAACAACAACAAAATAAGGCAAATGATATGTTTGGTTGAATTGTTTATGGTGTCTTGAAAACAAAAATTGATGAGCGGGAAAAAGCCACACCACTTGTCAGACTGATGCTATTCCCAGGAAATGTTAAGGTTAAGGGCTCAGCTTGGGGCTCTCATAGATTTGATTAAATATTTTTGTGCCACCAGCAAGTTGGTTGACATCACCAGCTTTATTATTTTATATTATCTTTATTTTTTTAAGTGGGAGAAAGAT